TGTGGGTGTAACATTACACTTAGCATAGATGCCCCGAGCTTCCATTCGAGATGGTGCAACAAAGGTTACAGATACACTGATCCAACCGATCGACAAAGACAGTTACTGTAACACAGACCTATTTTCCAAAATTCGTCGTTCATGGGATTTGAACTCTAGACCTGCCACTTGGGGGTTGACAATCTGACCACTTCTAAAACCTTATCCTAACTATATTTAAACCTATATTTTACTATAACTTAAATTTTCTAATACTAAATTTACTAGTAAAACTATTAAAAACTATATGTAGTGTTGAACTTTATTGATGTAATTTAGTGTTACTGCAAAACAAAACTTAATAAATTTTTAATTTGATGAATTAAAATTTTAATTGATTAATTACTTGATCACAGAAATATATATACTATAATTATATTCTTCTAGTTCAGATCTTTGTTCTTCTAGTTCAGATTCTTGTTCTAGTTCAGACTTTTGTTCTAATTCAGATTCTTGTTCATTTTCTAATTTAAAATCTAACTTCAAAAAATTATTTTTCAATTCTTGTCTATTTTCTTTTAAAGATTCTTGTTCTTCTATGTCTTCAAGATTATTTAATTCTAATATATTCTCTTCAAAAATATTCAATATCAATTTATTATCCTCAAAATTATCTAATAAAAATCTATTTTCCAATAAATTAGAAACTATGACTAAAGAGTTCATTGATATAGATAAAGAATTTAAAGTGTTAATTGTCATTTCTGATTTATTATAGGCTTGCATATTATTATGTATACTTAAATTTTAAATATTGATTAAATATGTTATAAAAATCTTTTTCTTATCATTAATGCCTTGTTCTAGTAGATACACTTGCATATTTTCCAACATTATTTGTTGCATTTTGGCAAAATATGCAAGCACACAATACTTGTTATCCCATTGTAATATTTTAATTATCATAAAAGTGATCAATTGGTATAAGTTATAGAATAGAATTATATATATATATATATTACTATAGATTATGCAATCATAGTTTAATCAGACTAAATATTATTAAATTATTTGATTTAAAAAAAAATTTTTTTTTATAATAACATATTTAAAATTTATAGTTTATTTTTTCATAAAAAATGTTTAGCTTTAATTCCAAACAATATAAATAATCATTTTAACAATAAAGACAATAACAATAATATAAATAGAGATGCAAGTTAAAATATTATATTGTTTCTTCAATTATTATTAAACTCATCTACTTTATAACAAACACTTGTAGCTATTACTTAAAGCTCTCAATCTATTGTAGCACAAACCTTTTTTGAATCAACACAAGCCCTTCTTACACCATCAAGTGCTATTATAGGGATTGTTAATATATTAGTAAGTAATTAATGAATTATATTTTAAAGTTTTGATAAATTATTATAAAATTTATTTATTTTTTAGTTTCTATATGGGTTAGCACAAAATCCTATTATCAAGTAAGAGTGAAAACAATGGAAAAAATTAAAAAGCTGGATGAAGATTAAAAAGACATTTTATGTTTACCTCATAATACTTATTAAACATATTAGGTAAGTATTAACTTTATCATTAATAATTGTATCCTTTCTTTTTATAGATAACTGATCATAAACTATTATTTATTATATACAGAGAAACTTGCATGACCAGTTAGCAACCAGTTGTCAAAAAGGTAAATATGTATTGGAACAAATACTAGACAAAATTTAGAAAATTATTAATAATGTATATGCATATTTATTACTAAATAATTATTTGCTAGTATTATCATTTCATTGTATAAAAACTAACAATTATAATTTAAGTTTAAATGTGATTTTCTGACTTTTCCTGTTTCTGTTGAAGATTTTGTTCTCCAGAAAATATCTGAAAATATTATTGGGATCTGTGATAAAGTATCACATTTTTATTATAATAAAATAATATTGTTTATTAATATTATAATGATTTGTAGTAGAGACTAAGTATAAGAACAAGATAAAAGAAACACATGCTCAAGGTATTGCATCTTCTCCTAAATGTAAAAATGTTATCCCATCTACTTCAAGATTTAAGAAAAAAACTTCAGCTCAGTCATCAGTAACAAGCTCTAATCTAACTGAAATTGATGATAAAATTGATACTCAATTAATCACATCTAATAAAACTAATTTTCCTTTAAGTTATGATAGTATTACTTTTACTAATATCGATACTTCTGAATTATCTACCATTACCTCTTATACAATAAGATCTTCAAGATCTTTAGAAGTTCTAACTAAGTTATCAACAAGAAGTTCTAATGCAATTGAGATCAATAGTACTGAGGTCAACAATAATAATGATGTATCTGAATTATCTGTTATTAGCTCTTATATAATGCAGTCTTCAAGATCTTCAAGAATTCCAGTTAGAGTATTAGTAACAAGTTCCAACAAAATTGAAGTAGATAGTTCTGATATTAATAATAATAATAATGCATTTGTATTATCTACCTCTTATGCTATAAGATCTTCAACTCGATTATTAGCAACAAGTTCTAGTACAATTAAGGTCAATGATAATGAAGTTAGCAATTATAATAATGCATCTGAATTGTCTATTATTACTTCTTATACAATAAAATCTTCAAAGTTTTCAACTTGATTATCAGCAACAAGACTCAATACAAATAAAGTTGAAGACAATATAAATACTAGGTCACTTAATCAAACATTGTCTCCAATAATACAGAATAAAAACAATACTGGTATTTATATTTCTTTCTTTATATTTTAAAATATTTAATTAATAATAATGTTTTCATTTAATATGTAGAAAAAAAAAAAACTAAAGTGAATACTGAAAAAGTTTTCAAAAAACAGGTTATAGCAAAAAATTACAAATAGAAATCAAAATAGGTAAAATGCTAGATTATGTATTGCAAATCTCTGTACTTATTCTAAACAAAGTATTGTATAAAATACTGTATTTCTAAATAAAGTATCCTTCCATTTATATACAAGCTTACATATAATAATTCAACCTATATATAAAATGATCCAATTACCTTCCTGATATAATAGTATAAATAAGTAACCAAATTATTAAAATAATTCTTATGTAATCTGATTATTTGTAAAATGTATTCCTGATTTATATATAATTTAGTTGCTATTTAATATGTAAATTATCTTAAAATGATCTGCATATTGGCAAGACTTATATATTAAATTATCTGAATCTTGCATAATTTTAAAAGTAAACATTCAAGATATTTTTGAAATATTATTGATAAAAATCATTCTAGAAAATGCTCATTTTCTAAAATAAGTTATGATCATTACCTGATCATTTTTTAAAAAAGCCAGAAAATTTTCTGAATATTAACTTGAAAAAAAGTTGGATAATTATCTGAAAACTTTAGAAATAAAAAATTCTGAATATTTTTAGAACATGTTGGCTATCATATTTTTTACAGGTGTTGGAACGTTAACATTAGAGGCTATAGTGATAGACTATTGTTTCTGACATTTTTAATTAGTACACAAAGGCTGGTTTAAACACTAGTTTTTGAGTTTTTTTTCACTTTTTCTTCTTTTACACGCATTCAGAATTCATGTCGGGCTGATTCGGAATGATCAAACTTTGAATTCACTGATTGGCTATTTCCTTTTTAGAAGTTTTATTACCGGCACAAATAAGTAAAGCCTCTCCGTTCCTGGTATTTAAATAACAAACAATTCAAAAATTTACACATTCTCGCCAGAACGTAATGAGAATAAATTCAATTTATTAATAATCATTTTGGCTGAGTTTTTTGAATTACTCATATTAGGCATAGTGCATACTCGCTTCACAACTAGAAATTCGGCATAGCATGCACTCGCTTCATATCAGAAATTCAGCATGAAATATACATTGTGAGCCTCGAAATCAGTCACAGTCTCACGTGACCGATCGTCGAAATAAGGTCCCATTGCCTACCTGAGTAACTGGTGTGAGCCGTGAAATGTGATCTCGGGAGCACGTGGAAGGAGGTGTCGATGTGACGCAGTAACAACCAACGGCTAT